TTCTGAATCTCATACCTTCCGCCAGTTTGTTGACTTCTTAGCATTCTCACACTACGTTGGACTTCTAAGAGCCTTCATGACTACTTCTTCTTTAGATACCTAAGCATATATCGAAAAAATACTTTCCAGATCATTTAGTACTAAAATATTCATCTAAAGAACAAATAACTACCAAATATTTTGATACAAAACAAACTTTTTAAGGTCACAATCAAAGCCATCTGGTTCGTTACAATTTTATAGTTATAATATTCTTTTCTTAGGAAAATTAACCAGAGGAAGAGGACGAATATACAGTTCTAGCGTTCCGGTCATATACAGCACAGAAACCCCGCTGCCAAAAACTACTACGAAAATAAAGATGTAAGTTGTATAAAACAGAAATATGATTATAAGAACCCGCATTCTTGTTACAGGGTGCAAAAATTGTCAAAGCCAGTCATTTTGAGTTGGATTATATGCTGGGACGGAAGATTACGTTCTTTTGTATGGCTACAGGTATCTACAATATTATATGATCGTAAAAGAATTTTAGACAATAAAATAATCATTTGAATGCTTTAATATGAAATTATTTTTGTAGGTTATCCACGACCAGAGATAACATGGTTTAAGGATGGCATAGAACTTTTGTATCACAAATTTTTTCAAGTAGGTATTGCGAGTTGCGATAAGGTCGCAATTTATTGATCAAAAATGTTTCAATATGTTTTTACATATATACATAATCGTTCCTGTTCTACCGGTAGGTGTGAGGGTATATATCTTTTATGTTCTTAAATATATGGATGTAGTTAAAAGTTTTCAGTGCAGGCCAAAGACGGTACCGATATAGATGAAATTATTGTATGTATTGCTAGCTGCGATAAAGTAAACAACAATTTGTTTTTTAGATATTCTTAAATATGACGGAAGGATTAATAGTTTCTCAATGCAGACGATACTTCTTCTTGTCCTATTTTGCGCTAAGATTTTCACCTCATTCCAAGACTCTTCTTAACCTCTCATTTCGTTCATAATTGATCTCTAAGTTTGTGCTGGTCATCCACTTTTTATTTTCCCTTGAGGATTCCACTCTAGGATAGTATTTACAATCTTTAGAAGTTATTTTTACAATACGATGTACGTGGACGATCCAACCCCATCTTCTGGGCTTTCTTTTAATTCTCTGTCCCCTAAATTTACGCAATATTTGAATTGAATAGAATAAAACACTGTAATTTGTTTATCGAATTATAAAGTACATAGGATAGGGTTATGTATGGAATAGCACATTAGACCAATGTTCTCAGAACCAAAAATGGGGCAATTTTGACAATGGGAATAATTAACAAAGCCATTAAGGTGAAAATGTGCTTCATTGCTTAGGACGATTTTGCTCTAAAAATGAGCATCAGCGTGTTGATATTCAATAACCCATTCAATAAACTTTATTCGCTGTTCATCGCCATTAGGCTTCAGTTTTTGTGCCACTTGAACTTTATGAGCATGTAGATCTTCAGTGAGTATACGCTGTAGAGAGCTTCTTGACATTTGTAATTCTTGTTTACGACGCCAAATTGATATTCCTGGATGGCACTACCACTCTCACCGCACTGCCTCGATATTGACATTTGAACGGCTTGTTTTGGATGATCAGTGTGTTTAACATCACTAATTGATCCAGTTTTGCCCAATTTTTCTATCTTCACAGTTGACGAAGCTAAATCAATATTTTGCTAAAAATATTGCTCAATAATGAAAACGCGTTGTTCTCTCGTGTAATCTGTCAAATTGTTTTTCTATTGCCAACACCTTACTGTAAAAATGGCGGCATATTCAAATCTTGCGTGAATTTAGGGAAACCCACTATATATACCTTAAATTATATGTAACTTTATTGTAGGTACACGAATGGTCAATAGGCAATGATACGGTCAAAAGTAAGATGGAGATTGATCCCACAACACAGAAGGATGCAGGATATTACGAGTGCCAAGCGAACAACAAGTATTCCATAGATTCGAGGGGATTCAGAACGGATTTCGTTATGATCACTTATTGAATAGAATTATGTTGTTTTTTTTTTACAAAATTTTAGTTAAGGTGATTAATAATCTAATGTTTGTATTTGTTTAGTCTGTAATATAGTTTTTAAGACATTGGTGTTTTATTATAATGTAGTAAATATTGTACAATAAACTGCAAAATAAATCTTATACAGAAGAAGGTAAAAAGAAATAAAGAACAATGGTTTAATGAAGAATGTCGATACATAACAGAAATAATAACTATTATATGTATAGAACTAAGAATAAATATTAATGCATACCGACGACTACAACGACGACTTGGGATATTGTTGAGAATGTAATACATTTATATTGTATACACAGATATATTGGTGTAAGAGTAAGCGGAACGCACCCATAGTGTCATGGGTTGACATGACAGACAATAATAGTAATGTCAATGAGTATCATGTAGTTGTAGGTAGTAGTAAGAAGTATGGTGGCTTAAGTTAGGTTAGTTAATTAGTATGTATGTTATAGGAAATAAAGCCTTTTATAATAGTAGTAAAGTACGACTATTTATTTTCCAAATCCACACCTTAACATGGTAGCAGAGGTCCGTGGTTGGAAAGTCGTACCTTTTACAACAGAAAAAGTTTGGTGCAGTTTGAAAAAAAAGTGTGACACATGATGGCAGGTAGTAGTGATTTTAGAATACCTATATTCGATGGGGAGAATTATAAAATGTGGAAAAAACGTCTTATGCTATTTTTGAAAATGAAGAAGTGTGATGTTGTGGTAACCAGACCGAAAAATGAAAATGATGATACAAATTGGGATGACGATGATGTAAAAGCAATGAATTATATATGCGGTGCAATATCGGATCGACAGATGGAGTACATCGACGAAAAAACTACGGCGTATGAGATGATAAAGAAATTTGATAATTTATATTTGAAAGAATCAACGGCATTGCAGATAGTATGTAGAAATAACTTGGAAAGATTAAAATTGAACAACTATGGAGACTGTGCAACATTTTTTAGTGACTTCGAAAAAGCTATAAACGAGTTAAAAAGCGCGGGTGCTAGTGTGTCTGAAAAGGAAAAATTGAACTATATGTTAAACACGTTGCCAGAGTCGTACAGTTATATTGGTGATTTAATAGATACATTAAAAGAAGATGATCAAACTGCAGACTACGTAAAAACTAAGGTTATGATGTCCGAATTAAAAAATCAAAACAATGATTTTGGAAGAAAATCCAGTACATTTGTGGTAAATAAAGGTCGACAGGATCGATCATGCTTCCAGTGTGGCGAAGTTGGTCATTTCAAGCGAGATTGCAAAAATGGCGCCAATCAAGCGTCGGGTAATGGCGGACAAACGACAAGCAGTAGAGGCTGGTGGAGAGAAACGCGAGGTCGACAAGAAGCCGGAAGAGGAAGCTACGTCAGAGGACGTGGCCACTCACGTGGACAGCGCGGAACGCATGGAACAAGTGCACAGCGGTTCAACCGACAAGGACAGAAGAACGAAGAGCGAAACAGTGCTTCTTGGCTTACAACAGTAGCTCTTGGTAAGGATATGTCAGTTATTGCACAAAATACTGAAATAGGTAATGTAAATAATTGTATTGAAATAAAATGGCTTTTAGATAGTGGTTGTACAGACCACATTATTAATGATGAAAAATTATTTGATAAATGTAAATTACTTAAAGATCCCATTAATGTTTATTTAGGAGATAATAGGGTTGTAAAAGCTACTAAAATTGGAAATGTTTTAAGTTACTTTGATGCTTTTGGTAAAAAGAGTTTAGTAGATATGCAAAATGTTTTCTATGTTAAAGATATGAAATCAAATTTGATAAGTTATAGCAAAATAACAGAAAATAATAAGATTATTTCTCTAGGTAATATTTCAAAAGTTTTTGATAAACTTGGTAATATAACAGCAGTTGCTTTAAAAAATAATGGCTTATATATTATGAAAAGTAAATTAAAATCAGTTGAATTGCATGTAAATGTTGCAAATAAAGATATGAATAATATGAATCAAAAGGAAAAATGGCATCGTTTATTAGGTCATGTAAATTTTAAATATTTGAATATTTTATCTAAAGATCAGCTGTTGAATGGAATTCCTAATGAGTTTGAATCTGAATTTATGAAATGTAAGATTTGTATTGAAAGTAAAATGCATAATATTCCGTTTGTAAACAGTAGAAAAAAAGCTAAAGATATTTTAGAGATTGTACATACTGATGTTTGTGGGCCTTTTCGAACTACTGGGTTTAAAGGTGAAAATTATTTTGTTTCTTTCATTGATGATTATAGTAAGATTTCTAAAGTATATGCTATAAAATCAAAAGCAGAAGTATGTGATTGTTTGAATGAATATACGAATGAAAGTGAAAATTTGACTGGAAAGAAAATAAAGATTTTAAGATGTGATAATGGGAAAGAATATTTGAACAGTAAAGTCTACAGATTTGCAAAAGAAAGGGGTATAGTAATTGATAATTGTCCTACATATGTACATGAATTGAATGGGACTGCAGAACGGTTTAATCGAACTATAATGGATATGTCAAGATGTTTGTTGGCTGAAGCAGATATTCATAAAAAATATTGGCCTGAAATAGTTTGTGCTGCGGTTTATTTGAAAAATCGTACTTTATCTGATACAATTGAAAAGAAAACTCCATATGAAATATTTTTTGGACAGAAACCTGATGTTTCTAATTTGCGTTTGTATGGAAGTAAAGTTTTTGTACGAAGACCAGAACAGAAGAGAATCTCTAAATGGGATAAGAAAGCTGATATGGGAATTTTAATTGGTTATAGTAATGTTGGTTATCGTGTATTATTAAATGGCAGAGTCATTGTTGCTAGACACGTGGATATTGTTGAAGAAAACGTTAAGTGTATAGGTTTAGACTTTAACGAATCAGATAATGATAATAATGAAGAGTGTTACCCTGATAAAATTGATGAAAGCTCTGAAAATGACTCAATAGATGAAACTTTTGAAAGTACAAATGAAAGTATGGATGATAGTGTGAATAAAAATGAACCTGAGTTACCTAGATCTCACAGAGCCAAAAATCCTCCAAAGAAATTTGATGACTACTATGTATATAATAGTAGTATTTTTGTAAATATGTGTAGAACTGATATACCACATACATTTGAGGAGGCGATAAATTCTAATGAAAGTAAGTATTGGAAAACAGCTATGGACAAAGAAATTGATAGTTTAAATAAAAGTAAAACTTGGAAATTGGTTAAAAATGATACAAACAAAAATATTCTGGATGTTAAATGGGTTTATACTAAAAAGTCTGATAATACTTATAAAGCTAGATTGGTTGTACGAGGTTTTCAACAAACTGATGAAATTGATGATATTTATTCACCTGTGGCTAAAATGCAAACATTAAAGATTTTATTGTCATATTGTTGTCAAATGGGCCTAGTAATTGAACAAATGGATGTTGAAACAGCCTTTTTAAATGGTAAAGTAATTTCTGAAGTTTATATTAAACAACCTAAGGGTTATGAAGATGGAACAAGTAAAGTTTGTAAATTAGTTAAAGCTTTATATGGTTTAAAAGAAAGTCCAAGGGCATGGTATGAGTGCCTAGATACATTTTTGATAAATTTAGGTTTTGAAAGAAGTAATATTGATCCTTGTTTGTACGTTTATAAAATTGGAAATGATATTATTTACTTATTAATTTATGTCGATGATTTATTGATTTGTGGTAGAAATTTAAATGAAATTAAAAGGATTAAAATTTTATTATCAGAAAAATTTAAAATGAAAGATATTGGTGAAATTAAAGAATATCTTGGTATTACTGTTGATTATGATTCTAGTAAACATGAAATGAGATTGGATCAAAATAAATATATTGAATTATTAAGGAAAAAATATAATTTAGAAAAAGGTAAACTGTATAATACACCTATGGAAGTAAATTTAAAAATTGATAAATCTGATCATTGTGAAAGAAATATTAAATATAAAAATTTAATTGGTGCACTATTATACATAAGTTCGGCAACAAGGCCTGATATAAGTTTCAGCGTAAATTATCTGAGTAGATTTCAAAATTGCTATAATGAAACGCACTTTAAATATGCTGTACGAATTTTGAAATATTTATGCTTAACTAAAGATTTAAAATTGTTTTATAACAGAAATGAAAAAGTAAGTATTATTGATTGTTATGTGGATGCCGATTGGGCAGGTGATCATTTAGATAGAAAGTCTACAACTGGTTTTGTAATAAGATTGTTTGGTAATGTAATTTATTGGAAATCTAGAAAACAAAAAAGCGTTACAAAAGCTTCAACTTTTGCAGAGTATGTAGCATTGTCAGAAGCAGTAAGTGAATTGATATTTGTAAAAGAATTGTTGAAAATATTTGATATTGAAATAATAAAGCCAATTGATGTTTATGAAGATAACACTGGTACAATTAGTATAGCTAATTATGGCAATTTTACAAAAAATTCTAAGCATGTTGAAATTCATTATCATTATGTAAATGATTATGTTAAAGCAAATGTTATAAATGTGGTTAAAGTAGATTCTGATGATAATATTGCAGATATTTTTACGAAGTCCTTGGGCCAAGATAAATTTGAAAAATTTCGAAGTATGTTAAATTTGAATTAATGTAAATACAATGTAAATGTAAGGAGGCGTGTTGAGAATGTAATACATTTATATTGTATACACAGATATATTGGTGTAAGAGTAAGCGGAACGCACCCATAGTGTCATGGGTTGACATGACAGACAATAATAGTAATGTCAATGAGTATCATGTAGTTGTAGGTGGTAGTAAGAAGTATGGTGGCTTAAGTTAGGTTAGTTAATTAGTATGTATGTTATAGGAAATAAAGCCTTTTATAATAGTAGTAAAGTACGACTATTTATTTTCCAAATCCACACCTTAACAGATATAATAAATATAAGAAAAATATAGGTTGCAAGGAGAGAAGAACTGAGATCACATTGAAGATGAAGAATATAT